TTATCATTTTTTTGACAGTGGACTTCTACCCCTGAACTTGATTTGCACACTTATTTCTATTGTTACCTTCCACCGTTTGACGTGAATCCCGACACTTGCCTTAGGTGAAGAGACTCAGTTACTAAGTGTTAGATGATTGTCTTTGGCATTCCCTTTCCCGTTTGATGTGAATCTCGACACTTGACTTAGGTGAAGAGACCAGCTTACTAAGTCTAGGGTGTCCATTGACCTTTTATTTTCTCTCTCTCTCTCTCTCTCTCTCTCTCTTTCTTTTTGCAACATTGTTCAAGGTTGTCCACTGTTTCTAACAATTTGAAGAATTTTTGTTTCATTTCTCCATCTTTCTCTTCTTATCTTAGTAGGGGCAAACTTGGGAGTATTTTCCAATTTCTAAACGGTTTCAACAATATTCAAATAAGACCATATTTGACTCGTATCACTTGCTACCAATTTCTACAAAATTCAATATTTTTTTATCAGTTTCCTCAACTTTTCTGTTTGGGAATCTCTTTTAATGGAAAAATTTTAAAAATTTCTCAGTAAAATTTTTTAATTCTTTCGAACTACTCACATTGATCGTGTCTAACCATATTCAATGATCAACAGATAGGAATCGAAATTTAACGGACTAATAATCAAATTATAAGTTATTAATAAATCCATAGATAAGGTAAAGGAGATAAGATAAAATATCTAATAAATAAATAAGTAAAAATTAAACCGATTATAATGTGGGATGTTCGGATATGCCCTCAAATCACCCACTAAATGCTATAACGGGCTGATGAGAGTGGGTCAGTGGACTCTGATTTTTAAGACGTTGACAATGAAAAGGCAATGGACATGCGACATTAAGCATCGAATGGGAGAAAGTAGCAGAGGTTCCTTCGTTCAGTTGAGGTGGAGAGCAAACTAGCTTGCACTTCTAAGCATGGGAGTTAACTGCAGCAGAAATCTCTTTCTTGGTCGATCTCATTGTCGGTGCTCTGCCATGGGTCAGTTGTGGCGATGCAAATAGGGGACCCGCTCCTTTCAATGGGGGAAGACCAGTTCGATGGATTTAATGGAGGCTAGACTAGGAGTGTGTTTTATGTATGGTTTAAGCTGGAGAGAGGATGTTGGCTAAAAAGATAAGCCATCACCATGAGTTGCAGCGGGTGGTGTGCCGGTGGAATAAAAGAAACTGAAACAAGGGCGCTGTGGGGATGAGTAGATGGCCACGAAGGAGAGAGAATGGATCAAGGGAGATCAAGATACAGATAGAAAGGGGGAGAGAGAACAGGAGTGGCGGACTGTGAGAGAGATCCAGATCTCCGGTTTCATCGATGCATCGAGTAAGAAAGAAGGAGATGAACAGCCAATAAAGAGATGATGAGAGAGAGAGAGAGGGGATCGGGGAGGGTGGCTGGGAAGAGAAGAGAAGAGAAGAAAGAAAGGGGAAGGAGTCTCTGCCGGGTTGCTCGGTTTCTCCGGTTGAAGGAGGTGAACAGTGTTTGGTATCTCTACCCGTTGGTTCTGAACAATGGGTATTCCCTGTTTGGGGAGAGAGAAAGAATCAAAGAGGGGGACAGAATGGCCGGCTTGGAGAAAGGAGAGTGCCACCCTTTAAGCGTTGTTTTTCAGATCCACTAATCATCGTTCCAACTGTTTTTCAGATTCTACTGTAATCACCATGGACTCTTGGTGGTCGGTCAAGTCTCCAAAGGTCTAGAGAGACAATGAGGAAGAGAGAGGAAGAGAGGAGAGAATGGAGAGATGTTCTTGAGAAATTCTAGGGTTAGAACTATATAGTCGTCCTCCTTGGTGGAGAGTTGTTCCCCCCCCCTCCCCTTTTTTAGAGAGAAACCCAAGACTACAAAGAGAAGGATCTAAAATGAGACATTTCTTTTTAGGAAAATGGGTCTTTATCTTTATGTCAATTATTAAGGGAGTACCATTGGGGTTTCGCCACGTGTTTAGTGAGATCCTTCAAAGACAAGATTTTCTTTCTCCTAAGGATTCTCACATGGCACATGTAAGCTATATCCCTTTACGGGTTCCTCTGTGGACACATGTTGAGGATAAGCTCTTGATCTAGCTAACGTATTCGAGTGTTTCATTAGTTATCCTCGAAATGCCTTGTCTTAGCTCACTATAATTGGAAGGAACACTGATCTCCCGTAGGTGGGTGTCGCTGGCCTCGGGGTTTATCCACCATTCATTACAGTCATGGACTGTCGTTTTGTGTTCATTGCAAGGTGTTAGTTGTGTATCAGGTTTGTCTTAGATTGGCGATTTTATGTCCATTGCAAGCCTTGGGTGACATTCATTACTCATCACAGGTCCCAAGAAGTGTTTTATGGTCATCGTAGGTTTGAGGAGGTGTTTTATACTCATCATGGGTCTTGGGTGGCCCTATGTGCTTATTGCAGATCCCGGAAGATGTTTCATGCCCACCACACATCTCGGGTGGCTTTATGTGCTCATCACAAGTGTAGGCTTGATTCGGTCGATCTAGAGCCTTGAAATGGAATCTTGGTACGATCGAGGGGCAAACAAGAGCAGATTTTGGTGAAATTTCATAGGGTAGGTTTTTTAGGTAATCTGAGGTGATTGGTAAGGTTAGATTGGGCCAAATGGGCCCAGATCGGGTGGATTTGGAATCCAATCAATTTGGAGCCTTAAAATGGAATCTTGATCTGATTGAGGTGTTTTGGGTTGAAATTTCATATGTAGGGGTTTTCTAGCATTCTAGGGTGATTGGTAAGGTTTGATTGGTTTAGATGTGTTTGGATCAAGTGGATACGGGTTATGGGTGCAAAAGGGGTCGAAATTAAATCTTTGTTCGATGAAAGGTTAAATAGGGGAATTTTGGGTTAAAATTTTGAGGGTGTTTTGTTCCGTGGGCATTTATTTAATAAACGCTGCCACATAGGCACCACTTCAACAGTTTCTCTTTCTCATTCTCTTCCGTATGCATCGAGAATAGCAAAAGGTGACTTTGGTTTCTGTGCACGCTTACCATTTGGGAAAGTTATTTTTTAAAGCTTCCTCAAATGGTTAGGCGTTTTTTCACTATTACACTGATGTGGTGCCTAGTGGCGCCTAGTTGTCATAAATAGTTGTAATTATTACCTTTCTCAATTTTGTAAGCAAATAAAGTATAAATGTTGAATGAAAAAAAAACGTAAATGGAACCATATACATACTTTATGGGCATGTGTTTTGGTGTGGGCAGAGTCTAACAATGGTGTATGATCGGTTCAGGGGGGTGAAAATCATAAAAATTTGGGTCAACGAGATGTTGTGAAATGGAATCTTATTTTGATGGAAGGGAAAATGAGGGAATTTGGGGTTAAAACTTTATAGGCAGGTGTTTTGATGTATCTAGAGTTTAATGGTGTGGTTTGATCTATTCGAATGTATTAAGATCGAGGAGATCTGGGTTCCGAGTGTTAGGCTAACGAGAGGCATCATAATGGAATCTTTGCTCGATGAAGGGGTAAACGGAGTAATCATGAGCTGAAATTTTATGAGTAGGTATTTTGGGATGTCTTGAGTTGTGGTGCCTGATTTGAGAATTGAGGTGTAAATGGGTGTTGATCGGGGCCATCAGATTGGTACCAGGCATATTTAACGATGGATTTATGGGCTTTCAGGGTAAAAGTTGGGCTTTTAGGGTTTTTGGGTGTTTTGGGGAGATTGGAGGGATTTGATTGGACGTTTGGGGTGAATTAGGGTTCAGGTGGCAGACCGAGCAAAAATTGAGTGCTGACAACTGGTAAGAACAACAACTAAAGAGATGGGATTAAAATCCTTCACTTAGTCACCAATAGTGATAATTCAACCTGAACTGGAAATATCAGTATTAAATTTAATGGTAACAACAAATTATTGAGATGTGATTGTTAGCACTAACACCGAAAGAATTCCTTTTGCAAATAAACTATGTTATATGTTATGATTAGAGGTTAAGTTAAACTCTTAATAAAGTTTTGAAATATGTCAAGTAATAAAACACATAATAGAACTTCACCTACGTGTACATAGAAGTGGTGTTGCTTATCATGAAAGTTTAGGTTTTTGCTTTCAAGAGTGTTCATGAAACAAGGAAAAAAACACATGGCCAACAATGTTGAGAAAATTTGAAACTCTTGTAGAGACAAAACATTTTTATGTATATGGATATTTTCGATTTGTCTTGAGAGTAATTGGTTTAAGGTCTTACCACCAATAACTTTGACAAGACTTTGAGATATCTATGTCATAGTATCTTGGACTAAGAGAGACCTATGTAATTGATCAATCAAAGTGGGGGATTGTTGAACTTCAATCTCGATAGAGATTAATCCATAGTGGTACTTTAAGAAGTTTGCCCATTTTAAAATTTCCAACAAAACTCTTTGTTTTAATTTGAGCTTTTAAGGAGCTTGTTTACACTCCTTAGAATTAGAGGAGAGTATAGAGACTCACTATTGTGCAATGTGCACACACACGTGTGCAGCACAAAGAGGCACTTTAAAGGCACACTTTGCTCACACTTCACGTGGTTCATGAGAAGTGACTATATTTTTAATGCAATGACATTTGATGCAATGAGAAGATTTGTGATGTATGAAATCATAAACTACAATTATGTGAAGCCACAAACTATAGTTAGATAACTTTGCGAAACCGCAAATCGCAATTATCTAACTTTGCAAAATCGCAAATTATAGTTAGCTAACTTTGTGAAATTGCAAATCGCAGATAGATAACTTTACAAAATCACAAATCACAAAAGCCGAAGTTTACGAAATCACAACTATGAATTTTGTGAGATTGCAAGTTACTAAGCAACATCACAAATCATAATTTATGTCATTTGCAAAATCGCAACATCACAATACATATTGCGACTTGCAATTTGCAACTCAGGAAAATTGCATTCAATTTAAACTGCACATAAGGGTGTGTTTGAAGATTAAACCACGTCTGTTGATGGTTTAAGTTAATTCAACAATCATAACTTGATTAGGTGTGACCAAAAGACATTATTCAAACGTTAACAATCACTAACTATTAACTATGTGAACAATCACAGTTTAAAATTGTGACTACACAAAGAGCCCCTTCAAACCAATACAATTTTTCTCAAAGATGACTCTCCAAAATCTATAAAAGGATGTGAACCAAGCCGAATAAAACACAATTTTCACTCAATTTTCTCACAGAAATCACTATTATTCTCTACGATTGATCTGCTATTATCTCACAAAAGGTTTCATTTGAGAATCTTCAACTTTATTGTTTGCAATTTCTCACCCAAGGCTTTGCTGTACCCTAGAAATGAATTTGCCTGTAACCTATTATTAACTGATTGGAGGCAAAGAACGTTCTAATGGCAATGTCTTTAGATACAACTTAGAGCTTCTCCAAATTTTGTAACCCCATTTCCCAACAAAAATCAATTTTGATGGTGCTACTTCTGAAATGTGATAAGCAGTTGGGGTGGTGTTAGAAATCATATTGGTGATCTAGTATTTACTCAGGTTCACACCTAGTTGTTCGGCTTTAGAAACTGAAAACTTGGCTTTGTTGCATGGAAAGCTGGAGCTTTGCTCAAGAGCTTCAGTTACAATGTGTTATTTTTGAAAGAGTTGCTTTGAATGTCATTCAAGCTCTGTCGGAGTAGATTTGTAGTCCTTGGAAGATTTGAAGGATTCTGGTCAACTGCAGGGCTATTCTTGATCATACCTCCAGGTGCTCAGATCGTTTTCTCTCACACTTCAACACTTGGTCTAGGAGTCCATTCCTAGAGGATGTATTTCTCATGATTGTATGCTGAGCCTGAGCACAAGTGCTCTTTACAATAACTTGTATACAATAAACTTTTCCTTTATAAATCAATTCTTTATAAATAAAATGCTAAAATACAATCAACCTCTTTCTCCATTCCAACTCCTACACCTGTATTGAGTTCGAACAGAATCTATGATTGCAGAGTTAATTAACATTAGCAAGAAGCATTGTCCAATTCTTTAACCAAAGCTCTTTCCTCTGAACCTGTATTTAAAGGAAAACATAAGTTACTTAATACAAGTAGCTTTTAATTATCAGAAAAAAATGAGATTCATCAGTAAAGAATTAATAAGAAAAAAAAAGATACATTTAAGATTCCTCAACTAAGTATCTCCAAGACATGTATTCCTCAAGGTGATTAGAAAAACAAAAATATGCTTAGGTCTTCAGAAGGTGTAAAAGGATTTTTATATTGTTCAATATACATAATTCTTACTGGAAGAAATTGCAAGAGAGGCAGTTAAAATTTGACAGATTCTACTAACCACATCTATAAGATGAGTGGAACATCACTCCATACACAAAATGTGTACCAACATGTGGTAATGTGATAAATTATATCTACAATTCATAGTTCAACTTGTGGAAATAAAGATGGAACAAAGTAGAATGCCCAGTTTAACTAAGCTCAATTCAATGGTTTGGACAGCTCAATGTTGAAAGCCCTCTTGGGATGAGACATCTAATAATTTTACAAACTAAGTCAACCCAAGGGCCTGATAATGGATTTCTTTTATTGCTGGGCACATTTATTTTAGCAGTTCCAATTTAACCTAAGGCCCCATTCGTTTACCGGTAAATAAGAGCGGGGGGGGGGAGTTAATCAATGGGTATCTCTTTCCCATTGACCAAGTTTACAGCGTTCTTTCTGCATTGAGTATTGGGTCCCACGGTAAAATCAGCCTCACTTACCCGAGTAAAACTTACCCATCTCCTAGGAGGGTAAATAACTTTCCCACCTAGGGGGAAAGTTTATAAAACATAATGGGACAAGTTTGCCCATTTTAATATTGGCTTTTTATGGGTAAAAAAAGCCATTCTATTACTTACCTAAGAATCAAAAGAACATGGGTAAGTGTTACCCGGGAAACATTTACCTGGGTAAGTGCACTTTCCCGGGTAAGTTATAAAATTCAAACGAATAAGGCCTAAGAGTTAAATGGCCAAGAACCATTGGACATAATGATGTTTTAATACATCCCATAGATGGTCTATTGATTGGATTTCCAAGGATAAAAGCTGGATGAGCAGTGAATATTTATCCATCTTTATCTGGCATCCTCATCATTGCATCAACGGGGGCATCTAAATTCAACTAGAAAGAAGTTATAGACACTAAATGTAAGTGTATATGCCTGTGTGTCAGAAAGAGAGAGAGAGAGAGAGAGAGAGAGAAAGAGAAAGAGAAAGAGAACCTATATAAGTGAATCAAAGTTGCTTTATCCTTGGGGAGGATTTGTGTTCTCAGTCCTGGAATCTTGCTGCCTGGTTCCATCAGTTGGCCCCACATTGGAATGCTCCCTTGCTGGTGATCTCTGCCATCCACCTCTATTATTTTGTTGATGTGCAGATCGCAGTTCCCGGCTTGCTTTCCATCTCAGGTATTCCACGAGTAAAGAATTTGTGCTGATTGCAATCCCAAACCCAGTGAAAGAGGAAAGGAGGACTGATAGAATTGCATTAACATTGAGCTGCAATTTTTATCACATAAGTGGAATTCTAGGTCTTAAGGTATGAAGAGGATAATAATCAAAGTAGGATGGAGAAACTCATTAAAGGAAATGTTCCAACTTACTATATTATAAAAGATATGGGCAAACAGGATCACAATTGCAAACTGGAAGGAAGCATAAGCCCAGATGAAACTCTTGCTTACTGAAACCATGAGATAGTAAAAATCATTTAGTCATGATTCATGGAAAATTAGAACATCTTACCAATTCAAGAGCAATACTCCCATCAGGAGTATTGCAAGAAGACATCATTTTCTCCTATCACACTTAAAAACTATTTAAGGATGTCAATGTATCATTCAGTGGGTTCTACCGTAGAGTTCAAAGTTGATCCAATGGAACAAACCTAAGATCTTATCTATGTAATGCATTAGACAGTCAGAGGTAATGGATAGTTCATATTTTAAAAGGATTCAGAAAGAGAAGATGTAGTAATTGGAAAATGCTGTGGACAAATACCATGGCAATCCATAGATATAGACCATCCATCTGACAAGTGCTGAGATTCGGCTGATAATACTTGTGTTTTTTATGTTGATTAGCAGTAGCCGACTTACTAGGGGTATACTTGTCATTGTAATTAGACTCATTTGTGAGTATATAAGATAATGAAAGGGGTGGTCAGATCTGATTTTTGGATTTCTCCCATTCTTTCCAATTTCTCTCTTTTCTCTTCTCTGCAAAACTTCTTTCTTTTCTATCACAGGTTTGAAATCAGATTGCAGTTTTCCACTTTCTAGTACAAGCAATACTCAGGATCAACCATTTTTGTGGCAGAGTATCAAAATCCAGATAGAATGAATTTAATTAGAAGCTTGGATAATGCAAAGCATATTTTGGAACTTTTGCATTGGTCAAAAGGCCAAGAAAAAATGCCTCTTTTGGCACATGCTAGAGGAATTGGGTAAACGGCTCATACTTGACAAATAGGAGAAAATTTTTCCCATTCTCATCATAAATCACAAAAGATAAAGATTAAAGCTAAAAACATTAGACTTGACAGTATTTTACCCATTGTGGAAGCTATCATGGCAGAGAGGAGACCCAGAACACAAGAGAAAGGCAAAGATATGGCCAGAGCACGAGGGCCTAGCTCAGAAACCTGTGCATATTAAAAACACAAACCAATGCTACCATCAGCTGGGACAAAAATGTAAAAATTTAATTAGATTAGGAAGGGACACTTATTGTAATACTCAAATGAATAACATTACAATAAACAATAATGAAAAATGGTGCAGCATGAATTCTCAACGAATGGCCTTGTTGCAAAGATGAATTGTATCCATGTCCTTTCTTTTGCTGCTAACTTTGATTGGTGGTTGCATTAGTTGGATGTTAAAAATGTTTTTCTAAATGGTGGTGTTCTTGAAGATGTGTATATGATTCAGCCGCTAGGTTTTTGTACTAAAGAGACAAAAGAAAAGGTTAAAAAAGACTCTGTACGGCTGAAAGCAATCTCCCTAAGCTTGGTTTGGTAGATCAAATGATGTTGTGAGACAAGTTGGCTTTTAGGGATGTCAATGGGTTGGATTCAGCATAGGTTTGCCTCAACCCAACCCTCCTATGTCCCAACCAGAACCTGACCCAACCCGGATCGACAACATATAATTTCCAAACCCAATCTGGCCCTATAGAGTATAACCCGATACTGACCTGACCTGATTCATTGCATTTCAATTGTATTTTTTTAATATGTTTTGAAAACCTAAAAGCCATAAATTTAAATTTTAATGTGTTTTCTAGGTTCTAAGGTGTCACTTTTTCCATTAAAAAAAAGAAGAAAACCAAAATCAACATGTATATAAATCCTAAACACTATGGAGTTATAAGTTAGAAAGTTACAAGAATACTTTGTATTAGACTTGTTCATGGGCAGGGAAGCCTAACGGTTTCAAGGCGCCAAGGTGAGGCTAGGTGACCATGGGGCACCTAGCCCCCACCTAGGCAATGGAATTTTAAAATAAGAAGCCGATGGATTTCTAGCCCTTCTGAACTAGTCTTTTTGGTTTTATGTATTCTGCACTTACTATTGTGCTTGTGTTTCTTGCAGTTTTTCTTGATGAGAACAATTACTAAAATAAAAGAAGAAAATGAAGAAGAAAAGTAAGGGGTGGAGCCCCTGTTCCAGACCCAGAAATGCTGGTGAAAAAATATTAAAATAAAAGAAAAAATATGAAGAAGAAAAGAAGGGGCTCCGCCCCTGTTTTAGACACCAATGATGAGAACAAAAAAAAAGCTGAAAATGCAAGAAGTTAAGAACAAAAGAAGGGGATGGAGTCCCTGTTCTAGACCCAGAAAAGCTGGTGAAAAAAAACTAAAATAAAAGAAGAATATGGTGAATAAAATAAGGGGCAGAGCCCCTGTTTCAGACACCAATAATGAGGGAAAAAAGCTGAAAACACGCAAGAAATTTAAGAACAAAAGAAGGGGGCGGAGCCCCTGTTTTAATCCAATAATATGATTCAAACAAGGAAAGAAGAATGGTTTTAGTCCAACAAAAAGGAAGAGGAGAAAAATGGGGTGTAGCCACTGTTTTAAACCAGTGGGAAAAGAGAACAAAACGAAGGAGGAAACTGATTAACTCACCTGGACTTAGAGGACTGTGTCGGAACGATGGAGGGCTATTGTTCTCTCCTCTTCCTCAGTTCGATTCTTTTGTCAAAGTGAAACCCTTGAGATTATTTTTTTTTTACTTACAACAAAAACATGATAACACGCAACATGTCCTATTATAAAAACTAAAACTAACAAATAAAATATTATATATTTTATATTTATTTTTATTTAATAAATGTTTCATATTATATATGTGTTTCAGGCCCCTAAGCATGCGCCTAATACATTTTTTCTTGGCGTTTAGGCGTTGCATTGGCAACTATATTGGCGGGCAGGTCTAGCCCAGCCCGTTCTTGGTTAAGCTTGGACAAGATTTTAAGCCTGTGATCTTGGGCTCGGGCCCTACTTTTTTTCAGGCCAGGCTCAAGCTTTCTCAAAACATCCCAGCCTGAGACCAAGCCCAACCTGATAATGTTTTATATAATAAAAATGTATTTTATAAAATAGAAACTATATAATACATATTTTTTCCTTTATTCCTCTTATATTTTCCCAAGCCAGTTAGACAGTTATGCCCTTAGCTCCAATCAGATTGATGTATCTTTTGACATTTATTGTAAATGAATAAAGTACATAATTGATTCATGTCATTGTGGTGTGCTTCTGTGTAATACCCTTAAACTGGACACTTATGAGACTCATGTTAGTTTAGAATCTTCACAGCCATTGGATAGGTTTAGGGAGATTTATCCTGCCAAGGCTAACACTGATGTGCCACCAAGTTGGTTGGGGTGGCTTGTCTCAGTTGCTAGGGTGAGACTTGAGGTACATGCAGTGTGGATTTTCTTGAAACCCTGAACCGGACCAAATTCCAATATTGCCCTGAACCTTGGAGATAGATGGGCAAAACTGGAATGTTACACCTGACCCCTAGACTCGATTATAGTACTACACTAGGTATCGGATTGAGCTGTCTTTGATATGCCAATCAATGAGATCCTTAGAGGGGGTCAAAACCTGGGTATGTTGGGACAGTCCGAGAATTCATCTGAGTAGGTGATAATAGTGACAAAATCAGCCTCTTTGTATATATATATATACATATATATATACTCAAGAACCATTTAGTGTAAATGTTGGGCCCATTAAGAGCCCATGGTGATGGACTCAAGGGTTCACTGTCTCCTACAGTGAATTCGGCCAGGCCTTGTAACAAAGGCTAGGCTTAACCCATGTGGCTGATGTATAGATCAATGTTTGGGTCCCACGCTATACAAAGAGAGCTAACTGGGCAATACGATAAGGGGTAAATGAGCACATAAACTTAATGGGCCTAAAGCCCAATTCGACCTGGGCTTAAATTAGTTAAATAAAAGGAGGCAAGATCTGATTTATAATCTGATTAGGATTAGCAGAAAGGATAAGATAAGTCTTATCCATTTAAGAGTCCAGATCCAAATATCAGATTTGGATCAAGAAACTCTCTCCTAATTAGATTAAGAGGCTGATCCAAAGAAGACTATAAAAAGGGGGCGAATTCCTCAGTTTTAACACACAACCTACAAAATTCTCTCCTATTTCTTTCCATCCCTACCCAATTCGATCTCCTCTTGAGAAATTCATCAAGAAAGGTTCTTGATATTGTTTCTTGGTTGAATAAACAATTTGAAGACGTGCTCACCAGCCCCTGTTCGATTCTTGCTGAAGAATCCTAGTTCTTGCTGAAGAGCCATCCTGTTGATCCTGCTTCTTCACACACTGTGTCATCTTCAGTGGAAGTGGGTTTTGGTCTTCTCCTTGGGCATGAACACCTTCATTGGGAGTTACTGCTATTTCGTATCAGGTATATCCCTCTCCTCCCTTTTGGTTTCAGATCTAGTCCGGTTTTAGTTCAAGATTGATCCTTGAAAATGCAGTTTTCTAAAATAGGAATGCGATTCCCAAATGGGAGAGATAAATTTTTGAAATTTCGCCCAACCTTCTGCAGGTTTCGGCTATCCATATGATGGATCTCTCATCCCTTCAGTGGCTAAAGAACATTCTGACAGAGTTGAGGTTTGAGATTCCTAGATCAATGTCTCTCTACTATGATAATAAGGCTGGCTATTAACATCACACACAACCCTGTGATGCATGAGAGGACAAAGCATACTGATGTGGACAAACATTTCATACATGAAAAGATTGAAAGTGAAGAAATCTGCATTCCTTATTTTAAATCCAATGATGGGCAGCCCAATTTGAAGGGGATGATACATATATATCCCAACTTGAAGGGGAGTGTTGTATTAAGAGTACTCTTAATTAATCAGGGGTACACTTGTAGTATCTTCCTTTGTGACATCCTAATATATAAGTTTGAGTGGGATGATGCCACTCACTCTAATAGTCTCAAAACCCTGTCTTTTCTCTACTATTTTCTACTTCTTTTCTTCTCAATCAAACTAGAGTCAGCATCACTAAAAATACCTAACCAAGGAACAACTTGCCAAAAGAGGCGTAGGCATAGTCTTACGATTGTGTGCTCTGTCAGGAGGAGATGGAGAAGGCAGACCATCTGTTAATTCACATACAGTCGTCTGGACACACTTCTTGAAGGGCCTTAATATTCAGCTATGTTTCCTGCATGCTTTGCACTTTGCAGGAGACAATTAAAGGCTGGCAGGTAAGGCTGAGTCAGGTGTTAAGGAGAGGTTTCTATTTATTAATGTTTCACTTGTTAGTGTAGAGCAATACTTTTTAGTCTTTGATTTTCTTTAGGTTTGATTTTTGGCCTGGCTATATTTTCTGTTAGGCTTTTTAGGCTTTTTCAATGAGACTAGTGGCCAAAGAAATATTTTTCCCTCTCAGCTCCATCTCCCCATCAATGCATCCTGTGCATATCCTCTTTTCTCTACACTAATTCAATTACCAATACCAATTGAAAGAAAATCATAGGCACAACCAAGGTTCAAAATTTCGACATAATATGCCTCGTATTGGGCATATCGTATTGTATTGCCAGGTCTCCAATACCCCAAATGAGTTTCGGATTTTGAGTGGTTTCAGGGAGGTAGATATGCCTAAAACCGACCCCCTGAAGCAATTTTGGAAAGAAAAACTAAAAAACAAAAAGTTATTAAGCATTGAAACACCCGATATGCCTGTTCATGCATATCAGGTTATCGATACTTTAAACCTTGGGTACTGTTAGTGGTGTTAGTGAAGGGGTATTTCGGTCTTTGTACTTGTTGAGAATGTTGATGTGTACTGTTATGTTAGTTCGAGTGCCTCTTACTTAAAGAAGGGCACTTAAGTCTTTTCCAATAAGTTAATAATATAATAGCAGGTCTGGCCGAATCTAGGGATAACTTTTTTCT